GATGACCAGCAGGATTTGATTCTGAACGTGAACACAAACGCTCCAAGCTACACAAGCCTAAACTGATGCATCACTGCATCCCAAAATCAGGCATTGGCACATCCGGTTCAATGGCAAGACATTTCGTAGATTGAAAAATTGAGGTCAGTAAATAAAACTAAGAACAAATGATTTCCAAAGAACTGGAAAACTAACCGTGAAGAGCAATTTTCTGCACCGAAATGGAGAACAGAAATCTATACCAATTCAAAAGCACCATGTAGTGTAATCATGTCCCGTCTGCACCCATCTCTCTCTTCTTCCCTGTGGGACTGTTAAACTATAATCAAACTCTATCTGGCATGTTTTTAATAAAGCAGCACGATCACATTCAGTTACCTAGGTCATGTTCTAGCTCTCCTTCTCTGCTTTAACATTCACAAGACAAATGAACAGCTTAACATCGCTTTGTCTTGTCTTGTCTCTTTCAATCCAGCCTCCGAAACATCTCATAGCAAGCTGTTCAGTTACACTAATGACTCTCAGTATGGGAGAAATAGCTCCAGAAATACACGCTCATGACTGCACTGCACAGGCATAAATCAAAGGCATCATTTCATCCAGCCGGTTGGTGATTGTGATGTGTTTGTGCACCACTATGGAGGGGGAGGGGGAAACATCAGCAGGCAAGCCTGGAGAGGAAATGGTGGTTGCCTTGGAAACCCTAGGCTGAGGAAGAGAGGGAGCGAGAGAGAGACAGGAAGAACAAGTGAACAGGCGAGGAGAGTATACGTGCAGAGTTGACCCAAGCATCGCTGTACCAGTTGTTTTTGTTTTGAGGTAAAAAAGTCTAGTAAAATAGATCCGTCTATACAGTGTGTTAAAGTCTATATGCATTTTATACATTAGTGTCATGTGTGTGTGTGTGTGTGTGTGTATAAAATAGCACTTAACCCATTTAAGCCCACCGGCAACTATAGTTGCCGCAGTTTATAGTTGTCATTTTCCTTTTGTATGTATTTGTCTAGATGTTATCCCTGTTTTATTTCTCAATGACATGCAAGCAAACAACCAAATAAAGGATTTCAAGAAAAGAAAAAAAGGTATTCACTTCCTTCCTGTCACATGAGGCTGTCAAGTTCCTACCCCTACTTCCAGGATGTAGTAATGTAATTTTCATGTTACTAATAAGTATTTTTTTGTTGACATGTATATATCTACATAATCATGAAGGTCTCTAGAATCATCCAAACAAAACAAATCTTCCAGGAGATCTATAGTTTTTTGTATACTTAGTCAAAAGCCCAAGCGGCAACTATAGTTGCCGAGGGGCAAATGACTTGTAAGTACATATCATGGGGTATACTGTGTTAACAGGTTAATAAATCAAGGTTATTGGTCTTGTTTTCTGCTTTTTGCTTTCATAATATCCCACCTAAAACATAACTTAACCCTTTAACTGACATCTCTACTGTACAGTAGACCTTAATTTGATAGGGAATAAATCTGTCAAAAGGAGGAGATGAGAGAGCAATCTTTCCTCAGCTCAACTACACTTCTGTGTCTGCTTTTGCCATGGGGGGAGGGGGATTTCCAGTTTTCAAGTGACAGCAGCAGTTTACAGACTTCCGTCAGTCACACAAAAGGAAGAATGGAAAGAGAAAGAGCTAACGCATGGGATTAATTGCTGTAGATGATCTTTTTCGCCCCTTTTATGACATTATGTCTTGTAAGGGGCAAAATATTGAGGCCCCTTTATCCAGTTTGGATGCGTTTTGTTCTAATTGGTCAAGGACCCTAATTCATTTTATGACTAGTAGCTTATGATTTCATTATGATGTTGAAATTCAGACAAGTAATGAGTTTACATTTACATTATTATATGAAATCACCTACAATAGTCAGCCATTGAATACTATGGGCCTAAAAAAAATGCGTAATTTTCTTTCAGGTACACCTTTTTTATTATACAGATGTAATATTTTCTTCATTCTATTTATTTTTATTTATTTATTTTCATTTAACTAACACACCTCTAAGAATGAAAATACCTGCATGTTCAATAATAAGTAAATAAATAAACAAACAATCATGGGTGTAGCCGTGATACATGATAATTATTTAAATAATCATATAGTTCTCTAAGAATGAAAATACCTGCACGGTCAATAATAAGTAAATAAATAAATAAATAAACATGTAAATAAACAAACAAACAAAATATATAAACAAATAAATATAATATAATAACAAATATAATTTATAAACAAATAAACAAACAAACAAACATATTGAAATAATCATATATTTTAAAAAGAATATCATTAATTTCATGAATATCAAGGACTTTTGTCAGGGTTAATCCATTTGACCTAATCAATATGCACCTATTCATAAAATATGTGATATTTTACATATTTACATAAAGCATAGTATGCAAATATGTTTATGTAAATTTATAAAACTTGTACCTTCACTGCAGTACTCCTTGTAGGCTACTTATACTAAAACTGCTTACGTAAGGGAAAGTTCACCCACAAATGGAAATTGTGTTATCATTTAGTCACCCTCAAGTTGCAAACCTATGAGATTCTTTCTTCTGTTGAGCACAAAAGAAGATATTTTGCAGAATGTTGGTAACCAAACAGTTAAATGCGTAATTTTCTTTCAGGTATACCTTTTTTATTATACAGGTGTAATATTTTCTTCATTCTATTTATTTTTATTTATTTATTTTCATTTAACTTTTTGATACACAATACCCTGTTGGGGCAACTTAATGGCTGCACTTTGTTCTGCACTATGTTCCACCACTTTAAGACAAATGGATTTGTTGTGTTTTCATATTCAAGAGATTATAAGCTAGATGCAACTTTTTTGGGGTTTGCATCGAATATTCTTCGACTTTTATGCATGATAAATTTGTTTATGAATAAAGATTGATCTGTTGAAAGCAGTTATTTTGAGTTAGATGCCAAAGGCTCTCCTCCTATTCAAATTTGACATTGAAGGGGTGCATACAACATATTTGCCCACCAGCAACTATAGTTGCCGCACATTCAAATACGATTTTCAAGAAAAAAAACAAAAACCTGGGGAAAATAAATGCAGAAAATGTTCACATAGGACTCTATTAACATGACTATATGCATGAAACCATTCAGAAAAAATTGGGCACAAATGGGTTAATAATCCGAGTTCATTTTAATTTCAACATTTTCTACTACATTATTGAAATCAAAAGATGTATATATTAATATTATTTAACCTAAACTAACATGAGTAAGCAGTTGTATTTTTACAACAAATATTAATAAATACTGTAACAAATGTTTTGACTCTTAGTTAATTTTAGTTATTGCATTAACTAATGTTAGCTAATAAGTGTTACCATATGGCTCAAAATAAACAAAAAATCTTAACTATTAGGTTCAAACTGTGAACCAAAATAGCAAAGCATTTACGGTCAAGTTTTCCACCCTTACGAAAATTTCCATGGTTTTATTATAGTAAAATTGTAGCAACCATGCTTTTTTTGGCATATTGATTACCATTCATATAACCACAGTTTTACTATAAATACAATGGTTAAAATATGGTTAGTGTTAGAAAACCATGGTTAATTTGTGGTTACCATGGTTTAACTATAGTAACCATGGTTTTATTTGTAGAAAAACCACAGTTAATTTGGTCACACTTTATTTTAAGGTCCAATACTGGCTATTAATAAACAATTAACTACAACTTTTGCCTCAATAAACTACTAATTTGCTGCTTATTAATAGTTCATTTTTGTAAGGGCAGTGTCAAGGTTCATCAAAATATGTTTCTTATTCAATTCCTTCATATGAATCTTAAATTAATCTGAAAACAAAACAAATATTGTAAATGAGGTAATCGATAGAAGGTTTTTACTGTCCATATCATTCTAACGCTAAAACAAGCCATAATAACTAACATCAAGCAGGTGGCTAGCTAGGCAGCTAGCTAACATTAGCCTCTGCTAGCCGGCAAAATTGCACCACAACCTTGTATGTCGCACTTCCTTTAAACTGTCAAGCATTTGGGACTGACAGCATCAATCTAGTCCAAATGTGTGGACTAATGAGAGACTTAAGAGAAATAATCTGGGTTAAATACAAGTTATGATCGTTGTGTTGACAAAAACACACTTGTAAGCACTGTACATTTTCTCCAAAGAGGTCTCAGTGCATTTCTGTCAACACATTTCTGTTTGTTTTTACAAAGTGAGGTATGAGTCAAATTTGTTGCATATGATTTCCAAACACTGCTAACATTCCTGTCATTTACCTCTAACTGGAGAATGACGCTTTGTTCTTTCTATCTGGTTGCATCATACATTGAGATGGTACCCAGACATATCAGGGAGGGTTTGTCTCCATGTTTCTCCCATAACCCCCCACACAACAATAACAACTTCCACAATATAAAAGGTTGGCTCATTTTAGCTGTAACTACCTTCCCTCACAGATCTGCTGGCAGGTTCGGAGAGCCTGTCCTCACTCTCTTTCCAAAGTGACAAACAATAGTTCCATTAATACATATAATCAGACCAGGAGAATGTTTTGTTAGAAAAATACTACCTAAAATACTAAAAAAAAAAAAAAATAGGCACTTCCTTTGCCCTAACTAGGCACAATGCAACAAGCAATTTGTCTGTCCACACTAAATGTAAAACTGCATAGATGGTAGTTAATGTACAGTCATGAGGAGCAGAATTCTAGACCAATGAGATTTCACAGTGGGCAGAGCTACTGTGCAAAATGCCATACCACTTGTCAATTGTTGTGGTCAGATGAAAAAGATGTTCTGTTGTTCAGATGTTCAGGGTTGTTGCATAAAACTTAGTGTTACTACATCACACCTGGTAAGGACAATGTGGTTTTGTAGGTTCCTCTGGAAGTTCCTCATCAGGATTTTGTTCACCATACTTATGGATATGAAAAAGACCGATGCTAAGAAACCCAAACTATTTGAATGCATATGTACAGGTTACTCACACGGCACAGTCCGGAGGTAGAGGTTGTCACGTATTATTTGTTGAAGCTCGTGGTCCACTGAACCCTTCTGGAACCGTAGGTTGAGATAATGCCGGAGATCTTTATCCACAACACCTCCTGAAAAACGTCAATTAAAAACAAAGTAAGTTAACTGGTAAATGCAGAACCTAAGACACCCATACAATTCTTTTAATGAAGTTAAAGTGTGTAGCTCCCCCTCATTATATTTTCTTGTCAATTGCTGACAGGGTGTACAGCCTTGTAGAGTATGGTTAGGTAGCATATAATAAATAACACAATAAATAACAATAAAAAATAAATAAATAATCTAAATGTATATATTTTATATACAAGTTGTCATACAGTGGTGGCCAAAATTATTAGAACACTAGTATTTTCACCAGCTAAAAAATGGTTTTAAGTCAGTTATTTCTATCTTCTGCTGTAGTGTGTCAGTAGGAAATATCAGTTTACATTTCCAAACATTCATTTTGCCATTAATTGTAATAATCCAGTGAGAGTTTGGTTTGCACAAGGAGTCTTACAACAGCCAGTGCTGTCTGGAATGATATGAAGAAACAGAACAAACTGAGACAGACTCAATCCAGAAGAACTGTGGCAACGTCTCCAAGATGCTTCAAGAAACCTACCTGCAAAGCTACAGTACTGTTAAAAGTTTTAGGCACTTGTGTAAAAATGCTGTAAAACGAGGATGCTGTCAAAAATAATGTCATAGATAGATTTTCTTTATCAATTAACTTCGATTAACTAAATTAAATCAACATTTGTTGTGAGCATCCTTTGCGTTTAAAGCAGCTTATGCCCTAGGTGCACTTGCGCATAGTTTTTCAGGTAGCTTTGCAGGTAGGTTTCGTGAAGCATCTCAGAGACGTTGCCACAGTTCTTCTGGATTTAGTCTGTCTCAGTTTGTTCTGTTTCTTCATGTCATTCCAGACAGACTGATGATGATGAGATCAG